GTAGACAACATCCACGGCTCTCCCCTCGTCCAGCCAGCCTGTCATCCCATCATAGAAGGCTATGAGGTTCTTCAGACATGACTTCCCCTTGGTGAATCCATGCTGACTGCTCCTCAGCAGCTTCTTCTCCTCCATATGCCTGGAGATTCTCTCTAGGATGAACCGCTCCTTCACCTTTCCAGGGACGGAGGTGAGGCTGACCGGCCTGTAATTGCCCGGCTCCTCCCTCTTGCCCTTTTTGAAGGCTGGAGTGACGTTGCAAGACAAAAGATTGATGTAAGGTAAAAAGTCTAAGCCAGAACTTAATGATGACAATAGAGGCAGTGAGAAATAATTTGCTTACTGTGAAATAACCTGTGTACCATAGAAAATAGGGCAGGGGAGAAAGGCAAGATGGAAAGAAATCCATGAGTGAGGGACTAAAGTCCGCTTTAGTCCCTCACTTCAAAGTGAGGGGGGACTTCAAAGCCCAATGACTTTGAAGAAGCAGATAGAGATGTAGGGACACGAGGCCTTGCAAGGCTGTTGTTGTGCTGCTACCACCAGACCCGGGTTCAAGGAGTGAGACCTTCCTCAGGTTGGACATTAGCCCATCACCAAGAGCCGTAAGGCCCCATGGCGCTGGGACCTGTGGTGTCTGGCCCCATGGTGCTGGTCTAGTGTGGTGGCCATGGGGAAGGGAGCCCACACACCCTCAGTGACCACAGTGCTTGGCAGTCTAGAATTTCAAAATGACACCATATCGATAGCTGATATTTTTCCCCCTCAATAAATGGTTTTCAGTCCTATTTTGGTATTTTTGGTATTTTGTAGACAAAAGGTATGGCTCATCCCGTGCAAGGGTGTTAATCAGCTGGCAGGCAGTGCTCTTGGGCTTTCACTGTATAGAGATACACCCACCTAATCTTTATGGTCCAAATGACTTTCTGTGCCTTCTGTGAGACAGGAATAACATCCTCCCTTAAATCTTCCCATTCATATGCAAATAAACTACACGGAGCTCTTGCCAGTGTCTGCTTTTCCAAGCCACCCAGACTCTATTAAAAACACTCTTTCAAAATCAGTTGTATGGAATTGCTGGGTTTCAGGGTAAAAGGAAAGGAAAGGCAGGCACACCAGCTATGGGCAAATAGATGGGAACAGAAGAGATGAGATAAGGGCAATGTATAGTCACCGCAATAAGAAAAATAATTTGTTATTGGCTGGCGATCTGTTTAGAGGCACTTCTGGATATCCAGAGCTCCTGGGTGACTGCACAGGGTCTTCCAATTGAATCCAATGTTTCTGGTGGGAAAAAACCTCACATCTGGAGGAGACCCAGACACATGCAAGCCCCAATTACATATCTCGGTATAATACCCCCAGGCTAAGCTTGGAGGGGACAGTGAGAAACAGAGAAGCTAAGCATTTTTACGAGGGGCAAATTTAGCTCACCTGTGGGAATCCTCTTGCCAGGCCAACAACTCACCCCATAGTGGTCCTGAATAGGACATTTTTTTTTCCAATAAGAGAGGAGATCCTGATGGGGGAAGAAGAAACCAAAGCTGCCAAAGGCCAGGAGCTGTGGGATCGGTAGAAAGCCGTGAAGAAAAGGGGGAGACGGGGAGGAAAGAAAGAGAGTGATGTTCTCTCAAAATAACAGAACATAAAATAAAGCTGAAGCAGATGCAGGTAAAGCTGCCCAGGGGAGGGAAGCACGAACACCTTCTCATTGTTACTTGGTCCAGCTCTGCACGCCAGTGACTGCCAGGGCCTGTCCAGACAGAACAGCTAGTTGGAATAAATCCAACTGTTTTGGATGGATAAATATGTATGGATAAATATGTACGGATTTGTATGGATAAATAACCTATCATTCCACACCGTTTGCCCTCTGTGCCTCTGCTTTGTTGGTTCTCAGGTGTTAAGAGGGTTTGTTTTATTATTCTTTTGCCGCAGCCAAGGTTGGCCTTGCAAGAGCGCGGGGCAAAACCCCAGCGCCGGGTGCACATTGCAGGGCCCGAGCGAGCGGCCTGGACCGCGCGGCACCGGGGCCGGCACCGGGACGGAGCACCAGCCTCTTGGCAGCTGCGTGTGCTGCTTGCTTAATCCCGCGGCCTCACGGAGCGGATGAAATCCCCAGCACGGGCACCCATCTGCCTTAATTACTGTAATTATGTGGCCCGCGTGTGCGCCGGCAGCTCAGCCACGGGAGGGATTTAAGGAGCCATTTCCCCTTGGACAGGTCGCTCCCTGCCAGCCAGACCTGCGTCTGTGGTAGGGAGCTGCCGTGCAGTAACAGCAGCCCCGCGGGAGCAGAAACACAAGCTACAAGGATTTAAGTAGTAATAAGGAACCATGGTACTTAACGGCAAACACATCCTTAAAAGAAAGGGTCATTCTGGGGAGCCTTTTTCAATACTGATCTCAACGTTTATTAAAAAAAAAAAATAGTGCAAATTTTGAATAGCTGCATATGTGGTGGAAGGCCTCAAATATACAAATTTGCTCTTACAAATCTTTCACATTCCCCCTGAGACAGCCACGTAGCTCGGGCAGTGACGATGGTTGGACGCCTGCGCACTTAGGCGCTCTCCCAAACAGAAACACATCCTGGAGTCCTAAGGTGGGTCCATAACGCGGGTCCTTCCCCCAAACTATGAACCTGCTCGAGACAAAAAAGAAGTTTTGCATCTGCATTTTGCATGCAAAAGAATGCAAATATCATTTATTATATATTATGCAACTGTCCCTTTGTATTTTTTCCCTTCCCACTGCCCGCGCTGGGCCTGCAGTGACATCTCGTGGTGCCGGTGCCGCGGGATGCGCAGAGCGGCCGGCACGGTCCCGTATTGTCCTTTGCTTTCCCTGGATCAGCAAATCCATCCTGAGCACCGACTGCCTCACTGCTGCCTTCCCAGGGGCAGGGAGAGAAGAAATCAGAGCAGACGGGCTGATTTATTGCCCATAAATTTAGGATGTCCGATTATGGCAAAGCTAAGGCATGAGCTATAGCACTAAAATAATGTGAAAACAATTTGTTTTCACATTCACAATTTATCTGTTAGTTTCTGTGTTCTTTAAAAAGATAAAAATAAAAAAGACTCGCATTTCCCAGAGCAAAGTAGCTAGAGAGCAGCATAAGTTCAAAGTGAGCCAAGTCACCTGCTTGAACAAGCCTGGGACATTCAGCTGCATTAACATTGAGGCTCAGACTGGCTCGTCCCTGTCCTTGTGCTGCTTTTTGGATTCTACCACAGAGTCCTTTCCTTCAGGCATCTCCATCCAGGCCAGAAGCTGGATCCAGCTTCTGCAGGGGAGCAATTCCAGGCCAGCACCCCACTCTCCAAGGGCTCCACCAGGAACACAGTCAAGAAAAACTCATTGCTTGCATTATCCAACCTTGCAAACACTGTCCTCCACCTCAGACCCCTCTTGAACACATCACTAGTGCAGCTTTAAGCAGAACATGTTATCACAAGTGTCAATATGAGGACTTAAATTTGTTATTTCTAACCTGTGTTTGGCTATTCTGGCTATTCTAAGTCCCTTATAGGCACTTCACAGAATCACAGAATCACAGAAGGGTTGCGGTTGGAAGGGACCTCTGGAGATCATCTAGTCCAACCCCCTGCTCCAGCAGGGACACCCAGAGCACGGGGCACAGGGCGGCATCCAAGCGGGTCGGGAAGATCTCCAGAGAAGGAGACTCCACTTGCGCATCTCCTGCGAGCTTCGCAGCAGTTCACAGTTTGAGATGTTATGCAAATAGAGTTAGGAAATGTTCATCTATTTTCCCCATTACCTGAAGTTATTGGATAAAACTCAAAGCTAACCTGACTTCCAGTCCTTTGGCACCTCTGTGAGCGGAGCAGCGTGATCAGTTCAAAGTCCTCCGTTAGGTCTTGTTGCTCTTCTCAGACCCGTCTCCAACCTTGCCTAGCATTTTACTCATATTTCAACTTGACAGAATGCTTCTTCAGCAGTGTGTAGCTGTACATACCTGCCATACACATGCTATAGTCTTTATATGCAGTGCATATATGTCCATTTTGCAGTGTCAGAGCAGCAGAATGAGTCACGGGCTGAACACGAGCCAACTCCCTGGCCTTCCTTTTTCTGCCAAACTGACCTTTAGTACCTCTCTCCCCAACGTGTGCAGCTTGTTAACTCTGGCCAAGCTGTCAGGGTGATTTCTGCACGCTCACAACCCCGCTGCCCTCAGCACACAGCACCCCTTTGATCTTCCCTCCCTGCTCCTCCTGCGTGATTCTGCCCTATCCCCACACCCTGCCCTAGACTGCAAGGTGAATCACCCACAAAATCTCTTCTCTCATGTGTGCTGTGACGTGGATGACACACACGGTGATCTTTGTCTTCTCTTCTCCACACTTGTTGCATTAAGAGGCAGACAACCTGACAGGCAGACATGCTTGGGAAGTTCGGAGCACGTTGGGTCTACAACGATGCCAGTCTTAGTTCAGCTGGGACTGACCACAAAACTTCTCGCAACTTTAAACAGCGCTAAGACTTGGCCTGAGGGATAAGTTTGCAGAATTTCTTGCTTCTAGTTTTGTGAGTCAAGGGCTTCTGCAAGCTGAGTCACATAAACCAGAATGCTCACTGGCACCATTATTTTGCCAATATAGAGATTGTAGAATATAGAGATTCTACAATCCAAAATTATATCTTAAACTTTTTTTTGCTTTCACTCTCCAAAAGAAGAAAACACAAGACACAAAAGGGTTATTTCTTAAAAAAAATATTTTTACTGTAAGCATTCATAAGAAAACATATAAAATAGTAAAAGACCATCTCCCTGGGGCCCCGTGTAGGCATCTAAGGCATGTTTTGAAAGTATATGTGTTGTGAAAGTAAACTTCACACATAGAGAAAGTTTTATGGTTTTATGGTTTAAAAATTGAATTATATTTAAGCCAATGCTGGGGATGCCTTCTAAGAAAAGCTTAAATATAATATAAAGAGGAAGAAAGAATAGTAAGACCTGCCTAATGTTGTAAGAACATTTCTTTTCCCCTCTAACGTGATGTTCATTTTTGCACTAGGAAGAGCAGGATGTGAACCCTGGTTGGAAACAGTCTTACGTTTAAGTCTGTGGAATTAAGTGGTTATTTCACATTGCTTGGTGGCACTAGTGTCACCTTTGGGATCAGACTCTGAGCTCTCGCCTGGTGACTTCAGAGCCTCTCAGCAGCACCTTAGCCCACAGGCAGACTCAGTGCACTGAAGCAGGGACCAGCATAGTCCAGACTCTAAACCAAAGCATTAAGGGATGAATTTCATATTTGGGATGATAAAATTGTGGCAAGCTTTGGCAAAGATGTTAAGGTGAGAAAAAGGGTTGTCTGGCTCCAACACCTTGATTTCTCCTTAAACTAGAGCAAAGAAAGAAATTAAAACCAATTCAAGACACTAATACCCATTTACATTAAAATTCAAGTTGTCACAAATTTTACTTCAAGTCCTTAGTTTGAGCCTTAGTTCAAGTTCTATCATCAGAAAAGGTTATTTATGCCATAATAAACAGAAGTTCCACATTTTCAGGCCATTTCTTCACCACTCTCATTTAACATGATGGTTCCATTTTAAAAAACAAGCAAATTGTGGTTAACTTGGGAGTCACACCAGTGACTAGGCTAGGCCTAATTCTGTTCCTGACTGCACCACCATAAATACTATCATCCTCCACACTAGCATAAACACTTCACTGCTGAAGTGCAGAAACTGCAAAGTATCCAGAGTAAAATGACAGCCAACTTAAACCAGTCAGAGTTCTGCCTAAGTCAGAGCAGGAAAAGTTCCTAGTGACTTAAAGGATCTTGTCCCAAACAAGAGTATTTGTAAACACAGTAAGTCATGAAGACAGGAAAAAAAAAAAAGAGGAAAATTTAAGAGACTAATGATCACAGAACAAGTTCAGCAATAGAGCAGTGTATCAGAAGAATGTGATACTTGAAAGCAAGTGAAAATCTGTGAAAGGTCTTTCATAAAATTATAGTCAGTGAAACACTGAAGTATTTTTGTTCCCTGATGATGCACACAAATCCTAAATATAAAGTGCTCCCACAACGACATGCCTAGTTAGGATTCTGTGTAAAAACACAACTTCCAGTCAAAGAGCTCTTGTGTCATGGATGCTTTTACTTTGACACAGAAACTGCCATTTGGCAGATCTGAAAATAGTCTCACTGTATGTTCTCTTGAAAGAATAAAGGTTGCAAGTCTGAAAAGAATGAAATTTGGTGTGCAGCAAACAGTCCAATAGAGTGAACTTCTATTAGACTATGAAATCAGAATTTTACATTATTTTGCTACTTTCTGTGTGCAAATGAGCCAACTTATTATGTAGCCACAGATCCTTTCAATGACTAGAAGCAACTGGTGACCTGCAAAATCACAAAACTTGCAACCCAACACTCAACCGAGTAGCAATTGTTTTGTAAGTTGAGAGAATGACTTCTCTTATAGCCTGAAAATTCTTGATGACCCAACTCAGCACTCCCTGTCACTGGTGGGGAAGAATGTTTTCTGCTGCCCTAGGAATACAGCGCTTCAGATGTACTGTTCTTCATCGTCATTCATGAGCAATGACCACTTGTCACATTCCTCCTCTACAAAACCATTATGTCTTGGCAGCTTGTCTGAAGTCAAGGAAGAGAGAGACACTTGACTAATCTGATCCCAAGGAGCTGGTCTGGATGAATCCCTCCTCCTATCATCCATTCCAATATGAACACTGATCTGGGAAGGAGTAAGTGGCTTCATGCGGCCTTGCGCTTGTGCTTCATAACTTTCTGCATCTGGCTTCTTGTAACTAAAAAGTGAAGGAAAAAAGTTTAATATCAAGAGGTCAATCAGGAAGTGACTTCAGCATCAGATACTTCTGAAGATCTAGATCAGAAATGCACTTCAGAAGCAACACTTAATGGCTAAGAATATTGGTCATACAACATTAAAATATTTTATTAGGAAAAGACAGAGATTCTCAAGGTACTTGAGGAAAAATTAGAAGCTTGCTGAGTTAGGAAAGGGTTCATAATAGGCAGTTCCAGCAGAGGAATGGGTTTGATGACCTAGGAGTCACTATCAGTTTAGATAGTGAGTGATGTATCTGTTTAGATCAAGAAAAAAAAAAAAAACAGCAATGGAAGTATGTTTGGTCACCTTTACCTGCATTATTCTGTTCTTTGGAACTTAAGTTCTATTTATTTGAAGTGAAACTTCTAGGAAGAGAAAATTATCCTAGAGTATATTGTAATACAGCTTCCTAGAAGCCAATTATGTTTTCGGTCATTTGTCAATATGTGACCATAAAGATGCCCAATAGTAAACATATCAGCTTAAGATTCCAAAAAAAGAAGAAGAAAATAAACCCTTAATAGAAATGTCTCATCTTTTGGATAACTACCCACAGATCTATTGCAGGAGGAAGAGACTGCAGTGGTAGGACTGATCCTACAAACATACATAAGCACATAGGTAGGCTAATACATATAAACGTATATAACGTTTATACGTTTATCCAGGCTAATGGTCTCACTGAGCACTTCTCTTTTGGGGGTCAAAGATTAGACAAAAGGACCCCAAATTACACGACTGTTGGCTATTTTGGGGTAAACAAAGCCCAAAGTGCCTAACTAGAGTCCCAGCTGCTGTGCTCTCCAAGGTTCCCCCATGGCTTAGTGTAAGGCAACTTGCCATTTCAGCTGCAGGGAAGACAGCACGACAGACACTGAAGAAGCTGCCATTGCAGCTGATCCCATCCAAGGCTGAAGCACGAGGCCAACAGGCATGAATACACCTAGTGAAAAAGAATACAGACACATCAACAACTGCTGCAACACCTCCTGCTACAGACACCTCTGTCCCTGTGTAATTCCAGAGCAGATCAGGAGCCCTACAGAGTGACTTGCTGATACCTCCATAAACACACACTGATCTGCATATATTTACTTAATTTTAAAATATCTCTTTATTTAAGGATAGTCCTTGTACAGGCTCAGCTATATAAGACTGTACCCCCATGGTAAGACTGGTTCTCTTGCTAGTTATTCTGCATGTACCAAAAAAAAGCAAAAATAACAAAAAGACGGGGTCCAGGCAAAGGATGGAAAAAGTACTGATACAGACAAAGAACACTGCCTGAATTGGATTTTAAGGAGAAATTTGAAGTTGAGAACATGTCTGACAGAAGCAGAGTACAAGTAGCATGAGAGAAAGTGTGTGATTCAGACTGAATAAAAGAGTGAGCACCCATAAGTGGGATGAGATCTCTGATTAGGGATGATTTGGAATATACAGAAACTAATACCCAAGTACTGCTATGTGAAATAACACTCTAGGTTTCATTTTGACATATGTATATTTATTTCTAAGAGCTTAAAATTTGGGGAAGAAAAATTTCTTCTACCAGCACACTCAAAAAAAGTGTCAATATATTTATTTTTTCTCTCCTTTGCCAAGCTCTATAGGCTCCAGGAACTTTCCTTGATGTCTGAGCAAAAAAAATCTGCAAGAGGCACCATAGAGCTCAACTGTGCTGCTGTCTGCCACAAGCTGAGCTCTGGCAGTCACCTACCTGCTGCTATGGGTATTCCGAGCAGGTTATAAATTAAGGCAAGAATCAGATTTATTCGTATTCTTCGTACTGTTCTCTTTGATAAGTGAATACTGGCAACTACATCCAGCAAGTCATTCTGCAAGATAGAAGAGCGGTGAAAGGCTTTTCCACACACAGTCCTGGGAACAGCAAACAAAAAAGAGGAGTGTCCCTGACAAAATTACAGTGCTCACCCGGATGAGAACAACATCTGCTGCTTCGATGGCAACGTCAGTGCCTGTTCCAATTGCAATTCCAATGTCAGCCCTGGCAAGCGCAGGGGAATCATTGACTCCATCGCCAACCATGGCGACCTTCTTCCTCTCATTCTGGAGTTCCTGGACCTTTGCAACTTTGTGAGAAGGAAGGACCTCAGCAAAGACTTTTTTGATCCCAACCTATGTAGAAGCAGAGAAACACACCCTGGTTGGTGATATACTTCCGTGTGGAAAGGAAGAAGCACTTGCTGTTCTGGGTAAAGAAGGACACAAAGAAAGATCACTCAAACTAAATTATGGTGGAGGCAGAAAATGCAAACTGCACAGAAAGCTGAAGAGCTGCATGCCACTCATGGATTTTTACAGCCTCCTTCATCTGCACTGCAGAAACACTGGCAAACCATGCTCTGCCCTACCTGACGCCCCACAGGGCTTCTGATGACCCAACTGCCTGGGAAAGATACAAAGGTTTTGATAGTTATCAGAATCAGTTTTTAAAATAATTGTGCTACTTGACGCATATGTAGCAATAAAGGTTTCAATAAAATGCAACATGGGAGGCATATATGATCAGGCATCTATGCTAGAGATAGAGGCTCCCTTTTAAAAGTTTTAAAAAGTAACATTTTTAAAAGCTTTCAGCACTAGATCAGCTTTTTTTTTTCCATTGGAAAAACAAAGTCAGGCCCAAAAATGCAATGAAGTATAGGCTGGCATGTTCTAAGCCGGTTTGAAATCACCACCTGATGTGCAGTAACAATAAACCAAAGCAAGTTCCTGAAAGACTCCGTTTTGTAAGAAAGGTGAGGTTGGAGAAACGCTCTGATTAAGAGTCCAGCACAAAAACAAAAGAGCAAGTTAGGATGTGTGAAGGACTGGAGCATGACACTGAGGAGCAAAACACCCTCACGACCTAGGAGGACACACATATCACAGTGCCAGGCAGTTTGGTGGGTCACCTGAGGACTGGGAAGCAGCAGAAGGTAGAATAAAAATATATCAGTGCAAAGAAAAGAAGAAAATGGAGATGTAGAGGGTAGAAATGTAGCTGGATATCCCCACATCTCTTCAGGGGGAACAGGCCTGAATCCTAAAGGAGCTTCCCTTCACCACACAGTTTTCCCCATCGTGCATGTCTTACCCACAGACCAGAGGGTGGTGACACCCTCTTGCTTACCTGCGTGGCAATGGCCTTGGCCGTTTTCCTGTTGTCTCCCGTTATGAGCACCACGTCGATGCCCATGTTCTTGAGCGTGTGCACGGCAAGGGCTGCCTCCTGCTTCACCGTGTCGGCGATGGCGATCATGCCACACAGGGCCCCTTCACACAGAAAGAGCCACTCATAAACAGAGCTGGGGGACACAAAGTGGCAGCAAGAGAGCAGGGGTCCCCCTGCCACACCTTGCCAGCGTGTAAAATAAACCATTCTGAGCAAATCTTGTGTTCACAAGCTTCAAAAATCTAAATTTGGGGCTTTCTCTCTCACACACACACACACACACTTCTCATTTATCTTTTTTCAGCAGATAAATGTCTCTGCCAACAAACATGGACTGAAAGTTGCATCCATGTCTCCTTCACATGGTTTAATATTGCTCATACTACTTTATTATTACACGTTACCTATCAAAAGCAGCAGCTATAGTAAATTTTGCACCTCTGCATCTTTACTCACTACCACTAGCACAGGCAGAAATGTCATCTACTTATCAGGGCCCTTATTTTCAAGTTAAAGGCATTTGATTTTGCTGTATTGTGCCCAGGCTGAGACATGCAACTGCCTCTGAAAATTGCTCTGTGGGAGCAGCAAGAATATTTATTCAGTAGTTAAGTTAGAAGCACCATATCAAGATCACAGACCCACTGGCAATCTATTACCATTTTAGCTGTTGCTCATATCATTCACTAGGATTCATTCCTGCACAGCACAGAACATAATCCCCGTGGCAAAATTCATCTAGTCTAATCTAATGTTTCCTCTTGTACTTACATGATCTAATTGTCATGCTTATTAATGAAATGAATGCTTATTAATGAAATGAAGTGATGCAGTAGGTCAACTTGTGGCCCTTAAGTGATGTAAAGTCATTATGGGACATGGGACACTGGCAGAGCATTCCTGGACAACAGGAATGTTCATAACATTTATGAACAGGAGGTTCATAAATTAATGCTGGCATTAAAAACTAACCAAGAAAATATTAGAAATGCTGTTTTGAGGCCAAAACTTACTTTAAGAATACCTTCAAACTTAACTTCATGCCTAACAGTTTATAAATAGTTTTGTGCTAAAAGATAAGTAGTGTGTAACTAAGACATAGAGCTTGCTTTTCTCCTTTCAATAGTAGCACCAATTGCTATTTATTAAGCCTCCTCAAGACCAGTTACCATCGATAGCCACGAGCACGGCGGTCTGTCCTTTGGTTTCATGGTCTGTCATGGCATCGTTAACGTCACTGGCGATGTGCAAGCCGTTGCGCCGCATCCACTCGCGATTCCCAATCAACACCGCGTACGTGCGGGATGCCGATGGACCTTCAGGTTCAGACAACACAGAAATGAGCAACTTAAAACTCGTGGACAGAAGCTGGAGATGGTTGAGAACGACATTGCCAGGCTGCATTAGTGACAGAAGGGTATTCAGAAGACATTCTCTTAAATTTCTTTGAATCCTGCCAATAGCTATATCCGCGACACTTTATCTAGGGACCTGTCAAATGGCCTTAGTGCTGTTTGAAGTGATGCTGCTTTTCAGCCAAAAATTCATAGCCCCATCCTGAAGACAGCCTCATACAACCTTTCTGCTTCAAGACTCCCTTCTGCGCCTCTTCATACACAAGTACACAGAAGAAGGGTGAACTTAAATGGAAGCAGTCACATATATTTGTCATTGCACATTTGCATTGCTATTCTAAAGGATTCAGCATTCACATTGCATTAATGCCATGCTGTTCTCAAAACTAATGACTTATTTTAATTATAAAAGATAGTTATGATTCAAAAGAAAACAGTGGCTTTGTTGTAACAAACAATAAAAGAGCTTGTGCAGTATCTCATTATGAATTCAAGCTAACTTCACAAGAGCCCTGAAATGCAGGTTAAAACGTCCTGCATCAACAGGACTCACAAATGGTACTGGCCATAGTTCTGGCAATTAAAGTCCTTCTTTTAATTATACCAATAGCTTTCCTGAAAAGGTCAGGAGACTGACTCTTCTGAATAAAACTGACACCTCCCAGGAAGGCTTTAAAGTCTTTTGTTTCCCTTCCTACCCTACAAAGGAGCTTTCCCCAGAGTCTGAAACAGAGAGAAATGTACAGGCCAAGTCAAAACACCAGGCCCCAAAACCTGGCTTGCAGATTATAACATATCTTATTGCACATTTGCTAAATATGTTTTTTCTTGAATAAGTGCCTTGAGAGATACTGGAAGAGGAAACAAATTTCTCTTTTTTACGTCCCCGCGTGGGGCAGACATACGGTGGGGCTCAGCGAGCTCAGCCGGCGCGGCCTCTCCCCGGCCTCTCTCCGCGGCTCCGCTCCTGCTGGCGTCCCGTGCGTCGAGGCTGCCCTCGGCTGAGCCCGCGAGGCCTTCAACGCCACTGACCTTGCAGCTGATCCCACAGCCTGGGACTGCCTGAAAATCCGTGCAGTAGCCCAGGCTCTGAGTGCCCAGCTCCTGTAGATACAACCAGAATTCACCATCAGTTTGTGCTGTCACTGTCTTGTGCAAATATTAGGTACCTGTCACTGAAAAGAGGCCTCGTTCCTCCTCTTCCCGATGACCGATTGATTGAAAAGTGTCAGGGACTATCAGTAACACAGAACTAAAAAGAAGAACCTCCCTGATTAAACTGTGGTTTCGACTTCTAGAATGGGACTGCTACACAAACTACATCCAGATGTCAACCCTAGGACCAGCAAACTATGAAGGATGACTTCTCCAGGTAGGTCAAGAACCAAGCAGGCACACAAGTGGCTCATGGCACCAACCATGACTAGGAGGCAAAGCCAAATAACAGTAAACCACACAGCTTCTGAGAGGAAGCAACACTAATCAGCCTCATGTACAGCTGCTTGTAGAGGGTCAGGCTTTTTATTTTTATTTAGTATTTATATAGCATTTATATAAGGACAGCAGAAAAATGTATCTAATTCTGGGAGCAATCTCACAGGATGATGATGCTAAGGAAACTGGGTCTAACTATGGAGGGTGTTCAGGTTAGTAGTATATTCAGGTTCAGAGAATGAAATTCCTAGGACACTGAACTGCAAAAGGAATGGAAAAAAAACCCACTCGTTTATAAGCAAGTTATTGTGGGTTATCTCAGGAATCCAGAATTTAGTGCACCTTCCAGGTGACTTCCATACAACCTAGTAATGGTAAGAATTTTAGCAAGTGGTAAGAATTTCACTGATTTTAGAATTTAACACAGTAATTTGTATCAGCAATGACGCAGTAACAACTGATGCATGTGATAATTCTGCAAGTGTCAGGAGAACAAAAATAGCATATTTGAAAAGAGAAAGTATAAAACGTAAGACAGGCAAACCCATCATTATCCACACTCTATTTTCCTTCTAAACATGTACATTAATCGCTATACTATATTGCTAAAGATTTATCATTTGACATTCATATTTTTCCAAATTATCCTTGGAAAATTGTATTTCCCCACAAATCAACTAATGCTCAGAACCCCAGTGACTAGTGTCAGGAGGAGGATATTGACTGTTTCAAACCCTTCCTATTTTGATAACTATTTCTGCTTCCATTCCCCTTGAAACATCTGGGGAATACATGCAATATATAAATGACCTTTCAAGATCTGCAAAATTTGCAAAGATGAGTAATCTAATAATTTATTTGCAAAATTTACAAATATCACAGTTTAATATTAATGTGCAAGCTTGTTCTAAAGCCTTTTTGCCTATTCTATTCAGATAAGGAAGTGACTAACAAGTGACTGCAGTCAGGTAATGTATGGCATGTCACCACACACACTTGCTCCCTGATACCATTTCAAACTCTTCCTGCACATATCCCATAACTCTTCTTTTCTCTATATATCCATTATTTGGGGGGAAACATGGTAAGATTTTGCTTGAGAACTCCACAGCATTATCAGGCTAGAAAAGCAAAGCTTACAATAAGCCTTCCAGGTATTGCCCAGAGCAAGGGGCAGGATTATAAAACCTGCCACCTTTCCAGCCTGCTACTTCTCAGCCAGGACTGTCCCTCTGAGATCCGCTCACTTGATCTGATGTTGCTGCATTCCCAGAGACCCCCTCAGGTGCTGGATTACATAGAAAAGGTAGGCACCTCTTTGCAATACTTGGTGACTGCCACTCCTAACGGGTGCTCGCTGCTGGCTTCTGCAGTGCCAACCACGGCCAGGACCTTCTTCAGGGGCAGCAGGGCTGTCTCTGCCAGCAGGAGCACCCGCATGACCCGAGGAACTCCACAGGTGATGGTGCCAGTTTTATCAAACATCACAGTCTTGATCTGCAAGAAATAAACTGGAGTTAGCACTGGGGTGCTGAGAGCAGAGGGACGCTCTGGGCACATAAACATAGGCCAGTCCTCAATTATCAGCTCACTGTATCCATGTCAAGAGAGAATAAACCTTAAAAAAAAAGCTACAGATTCCTATACCTTGCATTATCCACATGCTAGCGCTCCTTTTGTTTTCTTACTCATTTCCCATGCAGATTACAGTGAAGCTACATTTACCTACAGTAAACATAAACAACAAATAGCTCACTTCAGGCCTTTGAGGAGGGAGGGAAAACATTGGCTTATCAATGTCTTCCATAGGAGAGGCCAAGGGAATGCGGAAGGCAGAGCCCTCTCCCAAGTTCATGCGGATGGGCAGCACTCTGGCTGGCACTGGATGTCAGGCAACTGGTGGATTTCCTCACTTTGCTGCAATTACTTTGATTTGTGGAGACAGGTGGTCAGACCCATCCTCTTCACCTTGTGAGTCACAGAATCACAGAATCACAGGATGTTTAAGGTTGGAAGGGACCTCTAGAGATCATCTAGTCCAACCCCCTGCTCCAGCAGGGACACCCAGAGCACGAGGCGGCATCCAGGCGGGTTTGGAAGACCTCTAGAGAAGGAGACTCCACAGCCTCTCTGGGCAGCCTGTTCCAGGGCTCTGTCACCCTCACAGCAAAGAAGTTCCTCCTCACATGGAGATGGAACTTCCTGTGTTTCAGCTTGCACCCTTTACCCCTTGTCCTGTCACTGGCCACGACTCAGAAGAGCAACCAGATTAAAGAGTCGCAACCAGATTAAAAAAAAAAAAAAAAAGAAATAAAATCTTGCAGTCCTTCTCCAGACCAGCAGAACTTCTTGGGAAAATGTATTTTCTGCAGCCACAAGCAGGCAAAGAAGAGGGGAGCACGGTATTAACCTTGTGAGCCATTTCCAGGGGCTTCCCCCCTTTGATGAGGATGCCGTTCTGCGCGGCCACGCCGGTGCCCACCATGACGGCGGTCGGCGTGGCCAGCCCGAGGGAGCAGGGGCACGCGATGCTCAGCACCGTGATGGACGTCTGGAAGGCGAAGCGCAGCACCACCTCGGCCTTGGAAACGCGCTGGCTCTGGTTCTGCAGCAAGAGGGAGCAGAAGAAGAAAGAAAAAAGGATCTAGGTATGTTTGTTCACAGGAGGTAAGACAGGGGTACAAGCAATCATTTGTAGTCCTGTCAAAAACTACATTTGCCAGGAAACCTTCAGGATAGGAAAGCAAAGTATCATTGCTACTGTAACAGTAGAGGTGTCAATAAGAGGAATAAATAGGACTTTATGGAGGGGTTTTCTGGCTTTTTTGCAAACACATTTATGCTTCATGAATTTCTCTTGGGCACTTTCATATAGTCCAGCAATACATCCCTCCTTCCCGCAAACCACACACTTAAATAGGAGATAACAGTCTGGTAAGGCTGCAAAAATTGCCTTAAGTCCCAGCCACACTGGATGCAGCAGTTAGAGGCCAGTGCTCGATGTGAAGCTACCTGCACCAGGAACAAGGATGTTCAAGTATTTTCCAGGCATGAGAGAAGTTTCTCAACTCCCTTCGAGGCAGCAGATCATATTTAATCTTGATATAATGTCAGTAATTTTAGCTTGTAGAAACCCATGCAGAACTAAGGGGCAAAGGGGCAGGTCCATTTAGACTGGATGATGGATTCTCATTAGTATAATTAACTGTCCTGTATAGGAAACAACACATTGTATAAAAGTCCTTGCCAGCTTTGCAACACTAAACTTCATGCATGGAACATACCCTAATTACACTGGGAGATATCCTAACAACAAAATCCAACTCTCAGTTCAATTACTTACAGGAAAATATTTCTGAATAATATCAAAATTTATAAAGCCAATTGTGATCCATGCTATCAATGTCGCTGTTGAAATGATGATGATGAATGGAACAAAATATCCACTGAACTTATCTGCCAGTTGCTGGATGGGTGCCTATAAAAATGAAAAACAGATATTTGGATGTTTTTACAATCAAAACACATAAATATGCACACATCAATATGTTCATGAAAATATCTAATAGTCTTTATATGCTTCCTTTTTAAAGTGTGGAAAAGCATCTTGCAACTGTGTCAAAATATAGAATGTTTTTGGTATAATCAAACTTTGTAAATAAGGTTTCATTTTCTCTTTTTATTATCTTCACCTTTGACATTTGAGCTTCTTCCACCAGTTTCACAATCTGTGAGAGGGTAGTGTCATTCCCAACGTGAGTGGCATTCACAAGAACTGAGCCGTGTGCGTTTATAGACCCGGCAATCACTGTGCTCCCAGGCTTCTTAGTGACAGGCATCGCTTCTCCTGAGAAGAAAAGGCAGAATAAATAGAATAAATAAGCCAGACCAGTGCAAAGAGCCATGAGAACAATTATCACAGTCCATTAGCATACTTAGTTCATTGTGTTCTATCAAAATCACCTATTCTAAACAATAAGAAAAACAAATTGTGTGTTTTAGGTATCTGTCCAATGAAGACACTTGTAAGTGGCATTATATTTCTATAAATCCTTTTTGTGGGTTTATGAGAATAAACCAGCTATGAGGAAGAACTTCTTTCCTGTGAGGGTGCCAGAGCCCTGGAACAGGCTGCCCAGGGAGGTTGTGGAGTCTCCTTCCCTGGAGATCTTCCAAACCCGCCTGGCTGCCGCCCTGTGCCCCGTGCTCTGGGTGTCCCTGCTGGAGCAGGGGGTTGGACTGGATGATCTCCAGAGGTCCCTTCCAACCTCAACCAGTCTGTGATTCTGTGTTTGTGTGAAATGCCTTAGCTAAAATGTCTTAGGCTTTTCCTTCTCATCCCATCTAAGATCAGGGGCTCCCAATCCCTCGTTTCCAGAAACTTGGTCCCCTCCTACAAACTCCAGGAGTGTTTCTTTCTTCCCCACAGAGCACAGATCCTGGCACCCTCCTCTGATACTGGGTTTTGCCCAATAGAGATGAAAAGTGTCTGCTCCCAAGTCTTCCTACAGCAGCCGTGAGACCTTTCCCATGCCTTCACTGGAGCCTGGAGGCAAATGGAGAGGGAAGAATCGTCATTAACAATGTCTCTACAACAAGAAATGCCTCATAAAAAAAAAAAGAAGAAAAGGTCAAAGAAAAAAAAAAGACAATTCTGGGGTGCCCAAGATACAGGCTTGTAAGAAAGCAACAGAAAAGAAGAAAAAAAGAAAATTCTCTGTGTATTACAGGTATTAGGTGCATAAAAACTGTGATGTGGCACCAGCATAGGTTAGAAGTCCATAACCTGCAGCCTGTGAATGGGAAGGCACAGTACAGGTCCTCAAAACATTCTGTTTGGAAGCAGTATAAGAAAAGCAGATGGCTTGGCCAGCACTGAGTTCCGTGATCTCACTTAAAAAGTTTGGAAACTAGATCAGAAACTTGATGCTCTCCTGCTTTCCTTTCCTCACACAGAAATGTTTAGCAATACCAAACCTGCAGATGAAGTCAGTGTGGGCTTTCTAATGCACTTCCCAGCTCTTTATAAAACCACTTCATAAATGAAGGGATTTGGATGAGGTTTTACATGATTTAACTACACAACAACCAGATTAAAACACAACAAGGATGATGAGTCCTCTGTCAAAGGCAGACAGCTGCCTGCAACAGCACCACCCAGCCCAGTGCAGTAACCACCAGAAAGCCCCAAAGCTGGAGGGGAGCAGAAACCAGAGGCCTTGGTCCAGAGCACCAGAACCCTAGCCCTTGTGTTAAAAGCTGGTGTTTTGCTCCAAACCACCGAGCTACAACCTGTCCCGGCCTTTCCGTAGAGATCCATAATGGAGAAAGAGGCAAACTCTGTCTTTTCAAGAGCACAAGCTTTACAAAATCTGTTTTTTTCTCTGGCCTTAATCATTACTGATAAGAGGTAATTCTCTTAGGTGATCTCTAACAGGTGATTAATTTTAAGGGTGTCTTCTATTCTTTAACTGAAATATATAGGTAACTAAAACAGACAAGCCAATAATGATGTTAGATATTTTAGACTGTTTTACGTGTTTGTAAGCATTGCATAAGGAAATACACATAAAGCTGAAATTTCAGAAGCTGTGAAAAAGTCCTGTTATGCTTCAAAAAATGCCATTTTGGGAGGCTTGCCTTCTGTCTCCAGGCTCACGAGGCTTCCCTGCTGGAAGCCCCTTCTGGTTCACGCACACCTACTCCAGCACACCAGCGTTACATCCCCATTACCCTGCAGAAGTTACTTCTGAAAAGGCACCACTGCTGCAAAAACATTTCATGAGTATACGGGAGGAAACTCCCACCAGATCTCATTAGATTAGTAAAATCTACTGATTGGATGGGTGAAATCTAAACACTTGTGTTATGACTAAATGACCTAATTGGACAGATATTCCTCATTTTTAGGGTGTGTTCAGACATGGGGTTTGTATTCAAGCTCACAAAGTGCAGGCACTGTGTACATGAAGCTCAGAGGTTATTCAAACTTTCTGTTGAATCTGTTCTCTTTTCTTGTAAGCAAGAGTTAGATTGTAGCAAGAGAAGATTCCATCTTTTTTGCCCAAATGTAGGGAAAGTTACCAGTAATGAGAGATTCATCTGCCATAGAATTGCCTTCAATGACTTTTCCATCCACTGGGAACTTTCCGCCAGGAACAACCTTTACGATATCACCTCGTTGAACTAATTCAACAGCTACCTGCTCTTCCCTGTAAAAGAAACAAGTAGATCAGAGAGGTCATTTACACCATCAGTTTCAAGAGAGTAGTAACACGTGTAAATTAACTGCACCAAGCCTAGCAAGTGCATCCAGGCAAGCTGAAGGGCCTTTGGTGAATAAATATGTACCTGATGACAGAGTGGTCAGGTCCAAGAGTCACCACAGTTGCTTCTGTGGCTTGCAGAGAGATCAGTTTTGCAAGAGCTTCTGAAGTCTTGCTCTAAGAAAACAGGGATAAACGCTTGAGATATATTTAGCTACATAAATGCTGATGCTCGAGCTAAAATAATCATCTGTGAGCTCTAAATGATCCTAAAACAGGTGAGTACTCCCATCAGGAACTAAAAACTTTGGACTAAAAATGCATCTAAAGAGCTTTATTTGACTCTCCTGGGAAATACAGAGCATTTAGGGTGCACGTGGGTTACCTTTGCTATGTGCTCCAGCCACCTCCCCAGGGCAATGAACACGAAGAGCATGGGAGGGGTGTCAAAGAAAGTGATGGGGCTTTTCTCGGCCTTTTCAGCTATGGCTACGACGAGGATGACACAGGAGTACACGTAGGCGATGGTCGTGGCCAGGACGATGAGCACGTCCATGTTGGCTGTCCGGTGCTTCAGCGACTTGTACGCCTGCACGTAGAAGTACCACCCGCCCAGGAACTGTGGGGGCAAGCACGGGCAGACTCCTATTAAAATCAGAGCAGGGGGAAGCAGCAAGCACAGGCATCATGCTGCCTACGGCAGATTAGAAACGTGTTGTAGGTAATGGAAGAGATTCTTGGCCCGTGCTGTTTTTGTATTTATATTGAGTCAGTGGAGTTGTCTGCTGGGAGGCCGATTCCACTGTCATCCTCCCACTTGCCCTTCCTTGTTCTCAGAACAACTCCACAAACTAAGTGTTGTCACCTTTTTCTCACGGAACACAAAGGAAAAAAACCCAAAGTCCAGAGGTTTAAGGGATATACAGTTACCCAGCTAGTTGGCTAATCGGGTTTTTTAATTGTTCTAACGTCCCCATTTAGAAATGTCACTGACACAACTTGAGCAATTACATAATCAACAACTTATAGGAGAGTGACCCTCCACTCTGTGTGAGTTGTACAAACAAGGGGCCAGGCATAATCCACTAAAGCTTTCTAGCCTCCCAGCTCTTTCCACATCAGATTACATAAATGGGAGATGAAAAGAAAGCAAATACCTAGGAAATAGCATGGACATACCTGAACAAAAGTGCACAGGACAAAGAAGAGAAGATTTAAAACAGATAATCCAGGAATGAGATTCTGTTCCAGCACCATAGATCCGTGGTGCTCGCCATCAGGTATTAGCATATAAATCATTAGGATTAAGACAGGGATACCGAACACTAGGCTGCACAAGAAAGATTTCCTCCACCTGAAAAGTAGAAGCTGTAAATGGCCAGCAGTAGCAGACCCAGCAGCACCCAGGCCCAATGCTGTGCTCGCAGCCCAGAGCTGCAGGTGCTAGTGCTGTCCTCACATGGATGTTGGGAGATTTGGGAAAAGCCTGGCACTTCAGGACAGCTGCATTGCCCCCTACATGCTTAAGTGCCATAGGCTTCAACCTGAACTGCAACTAATGAAAAGGGACATGGAAGTACTTGCTCCAAACAGCAAATCATAGAATTAAATATGCTTTATACAAGTTAAATTAACAGGGAGAAGTAAGGGGAGGGGAGCTACAAGATACGATCTAGATGAAATCATCAATGAGAGAAAGAAAAATACTTACTGCTGTATTTCCTTTTTATGATCCAGATTATGTGCACTAGGAACTCTTTTTGCCAAGGAAGCATGAAAGCCAATTTCCTTTTTTTTTTCAGGAGAGAGAAGGGAGAAGAGCTAGTTTTTATTTAGCTAACTGCATTACTTATCACATACTTAAATGACACCACTTTTAGAAGAAATTAACAGAAATGTCAGAAAAAAGACACCCTTCCTTCGTTAATAAATGCCAACTTATTAATTTTAGGTGCTGCCACCATGCTCAGATATTCCAGACACTACTGATAATGCTGCAAGAGAATGTGAACTGCAAAAGATTTCTGCTATCTGTTCCACAGGGACACAATTATAAAGCAGCACTTATCCTATTCTTTCCTAAGCAGGCAGCTCACAATGACAGCTGGAATTCTACTGTCCTTCTTCCCAGGGGAATTTAATGCCTTTTGCTTGCCACTGAAGTCAGCACAAGAGAATGGAAATACTATAAAGGAAGGTTACAATGTATACGAGCCCCTGGGCTAGTCAGCTTTTCCACTATGCCCCTAACACTTCAGTAGAGTAGATATATCTAAAGTTGAAAATCAAAATGGTCAGAACCAGCTTAAAAGTACAAACCAACAAATCACAAAGGGCAAAGCGGCCCATGTGGCGCAAAGCCAATATTGACGGACGGACAGACGGAGGGAAGGAAGGAAGGAAGGAAGGAAGGAAGGAAGGAAGGAAGGAAGGA